AGCTTAAAGTTCAAGATTTCTGGTTTGCCGGCTTTGTAAATCAAATAAAATCAACAGTTTTGTATTTCGGCTGACTTAATTTTTTTTTTTCAACAATTTTGCTGGTGTGATTTATTTAATTTACATGGAAATTATGTACACAGCTGAATCAAGTAACTTTGATGCATCATGTTTTCTTTGACCCTGCCTGATAAGATCGCCCAACACAAACACAGAGTTAAATCATTTAGATGCTGTCACCCCCTAGAGGACATTTTTTATTTGTACATCATGTCAAGGTGAGACATAGTGTAGGTACAGAACAAAGACAAACAATTCAATTAAATTCAGTTTTATTTGTATAGCCCTTTTAACAATGGACATTGTCTCAAAGTAGCTTTACAGAACATAAGAAACAGAAAAACATGCAAACAAACAAAAACATGCAACAGTCCTAGATGTTAGACAAAATTATCCCTAGTGAGCAAGCCTGAGGCAACTGTGGCAAGGAAAAACTCCCTTAGATGATATGAGGAAGAAACCTTTAGAGGAACCAGATTCAAAAGGGAACCCATCCTCATTTGGGTGACACTGGAGAGTGTGATAGAACAATGTCCTTTCTGCATTTATGTATAGTCATGTAGCGTTTTAAGTGTATATTGATTTGTAGGTTGTTATCTTCCGCAAAGTCCACATAGGGTTGGCAGCGTTGCTTTAAATACCCAAATCCTCACGAGGCAGAAACCGGCTGGAGCTGGTCCATCTCTGGATGCCTCAGGATCCTCGTAGGGTTGGCCTCTGTCTACTTGAGCTGGCACAATCTCTATGTGCCTCAGGATGGGTAGAAGAAGGGAAACAAGTAGAAAGGAATTAGCGTAGCTGCTGTTCATAATATTAGCAAGCACTAAATCATAATGTATGTATTAAGTGTATGCCTGGCTAAAGATATATGTCTTTAATCTACGCTTGAACTGGGAGACTGTGTCTGAGCCCGAACACTGTCAGGAAGGCTATTCCAAAGTTTAGGAGCTAAATACGAAAACGCTCTACCCCCTTTTGTAGACTTTGATATTCTGGGAACTACCAGAAGTCCGGAGTTTTGAGATCTTAAGCGCGAGGTGGATTGTGACGTGTTAGAAGACTGGCTAGATACATGGGAGCTAAGCCATTTAGAGCCTTATACGTAAGTAGTGCTAGTTTATAATCAATTCTAAACTTAACAGGTAGCCAGTGCAGGGATGATAATATTGGGGTTATGTGATCATCTTTTCTTGACCTAGTAAGAACTCTGGCGGCTGCATTCTGGACTAACTGTAGCTTGTTTATTGAAGACGCAGGACAACCACCTAGCAATGCATTACAATAGTCCAGTCTGGAGG